AGGAGGAGGCGAGGCGCTGCAGCCATGGCGTCGTATGTGGGGAGCCGGACTTTGAGCAAGGACGATGTGAACTATCGGCTGCATTTCCGCATGATCAACGAGCAGCAAGTGGAGGACATCACCCTGGAGTTCTTCTATCGGCCCCACACCATCACCTTGCTGAGCTTCACCATCCTCAGCCTCATGGCCTTCGCCTTCACCAGGTCTCCGCGGGGCGGGGGCGATCCGTTCAGGGGCAGGGTGCGGTGGGAGCCCGGCTGTCCTGGGAGGGAAACCCGTAGAGACCACCGGCTGGCCTTTCGCCTCAGGAGGGCAACCCTGACGGGCAGCCGCTCTGGGGCAGGGTTTTTCCAGCCCTGCCTGGATGTTGGGGAGGGACCGCCGGCAGGCTGAGCAGGTGCCCTGCGCGGGTCCGCTGCCGTGGGGAGCGTCACCCTGGTAACCTCTGGGGCTTGCGGCTGTCCGAGCGTGTACTTTAAAGCAGGGTTTCTTAAAGTGTGGTCCCAGGACCCCGGAGGTCCCCCAAGACCCTGTGAGGGGTCCGCAAAATCGAAATGATTTGCCGGGTATTGAAGATACTTGCAAAAATCTAAAGTAGTGTCTTTCTCATTATTTTTTTTTATTTGTTCAAAAATATAGGGTCTTTTCATGAAAAATAATTTATTCGTTCGTATCGAATGGGTTTAATATTGTTTTTACACGATCGAATAAATAACTGTTCTACAAATGCGTCAATTTTAATTTTTAATATGGTAAATATTGATAAAGATAACCCATGCAAACAAAAGCTCTTGAATGGGCGTCCGTAATTTTTAGAAGTGGGAAAGGATCCTGAGAGCAAAAAGTTCAAGAAATGCTGCTTTAAAGGAACATGGTGTTTCAGCCTTGCAGAAGTGATACAGTTTAGATCTGGCTGATGCCAGATTCAGAGATTGGCCACCCTGTGTTAGTCGCCTTGAGTTTCATTAGAGAAGAAGGGTGGAACAACAGTAAAAATGAAGTGCTTTTTCTAAAAGCACCCTTCTGGGTAGCAGCACCTGTGCTGATGTTTGTAGGCCTTAAATTCCTTAGGTGCAAGAAGAGTACTTATAGCAGTATTTACATGCCCACTTACTGGGGTTAGCTGATTGTAATTTATTTACTTCTGAGTATACAGACATAGGCTTATACGTTAACTTCTTTTAAAGCGGGAACTGTCAAGATGTGTATGCTTAATTTACTGCTTCATGGTCAGACAAAGAGAATGAGAACTTCTGTTCTCTCTAGTGGACTAGATAGGGTGGAGCCAGCAAGATGGTTCTGGAAAAGGTAACTGCTGAAATCCGTGGGGAGAGATAAGGAAGGGAAGTTTGGAAGAGAGAAATGCAAAAGAGCAGTGTTTCTCAACCTTGGCCACTTTAAGACGTGTGGACTTCAACTCCCAGAATCCCTCAGCCAGCCATGCTGGCTGGGGAATTCTGGGAGTTGAAGTCCACACATCTTAAAGTCACCAAGGCTGAGAAACACTGCAAAAGAGAATGGCCGAATGCTGTCTTAAACATAGGCATTGAGTCTTGGGATGGGTTTAATTGCTTAATATATGTCACATGGATAATATTGTAAGGTAAAATATTTAATAAAGAAGGAGCTGTCTGGGATTTTCCTTCCAACTCTTTTCTTGCCAACAGTTGCCTGTTAAAAATTACTTCTCTCCTGGGTTCACAAAGACACTTCTGGAAAGGAGAGTTTTGTTTTGTTTTAAAAGTCTTGACAACACCAGCTGCCAGATGTTGTGGAACAGTTTTTCTGGGAAAGTGTATCTGATAGCTCTTGTTCCTGTTTTGGTTGCCACTAGTGTTAAATATCTTGTCCCAAAAGTTTGTGCCTGCTGCAGATGTAATCAGTTGGTGCAATATGCTTGTTGTGATGACATAAATTTGTAGAGATAACTGTCAACCATTGATCAATAACCCTAATCCATTTGGAGGGAATAAGCACAAGACAGCTGAAATAAGCAGACAGAAACTCACTGGTGGGCAAAAAAAGGAAGATTCCTGATAGCATTCAGCAAACATATTGGTTGTTTTTCCTACAGTTATGCAGACTTGTAGATCTCTTGTAACTCAATGCACTTGCTGGATTCGCTCTTATTGCTTGTTATTTAAATTTAGGAAGATTTTCATGGCCCTTATAACTTTACAAATTCTTATATAGACATGTCTTCCATACTTGCATAAATTGTGTTTAGTTGATCATTTACACAATTATGCATGTGTGTTTTCTCTGCATATGTGCATGTTCCATAAGTTGCTACAATCTTTTACCAGTTTTCACTGATGCATTATGAAATGCAGATCTATCAGTGCACATCGTCATTTATGCTAATCCTTTGGTTTATCATTGTGGTAATGAAGTAACAGCAAGTAATAAATATTTACAGGAGAATTGGAAGAAACTAAATCATAGCAGTCTGTTTTATTTCCAGTAGAAAATAGAAATACTAAGTATGCTAAATAGAATGGTTAAATAATGAAAATGAACATTAATACAAACTAATGTCCAAAAGTAATTAGCAGAAGATGCAAAGTCAAATTCCATGTGCTGGACTTCTGGGGAAGCAGTGGCAGACTGCCACGGAGCTGATGGCTGCTGCGGAAAGAGGAGCCAGTGAATGGATCGGCTCCTTGGAACCGGATCAAGGAAAGGATTAGGATCACTACAAGTTTGCTCCATAAAGAGGCTCTCTGCAAAGAGGTCATAAAATAGTGGTCTCTGGCAGGTTTTAGAGCTCTGGGAGCCAGGGTGGGGGGAGGGAATCATCTTGCCTAAACCACGGTTCGGCGCCTTCAAACAGACACTGGGTTCACCCATTTCCTCTCTTAATCACCTTAGGAAATTGCTTGTTATTGACTTTTTGGATGTTAAGAAACCTTCAGA